GCAACACATAGCAGCATGCTCACAAAAAAGGTAAAAAAAAAAAAAGACACAATGGCCAAAATATGTCTGCCTGTATGTATGTGGCTGAAGGATAAATTTAAAGTTGTAACTTTTCTCACAGGGTTTTACAGTCTCACAAGGTTTTACTAAGAGCTAAAGCACAGCATGTTATCAACATGCTTCATGCACATTCATGAGGTAAACAAGTGTCGGGTGGGTAGGTGTGTTTGTGTACTCGAGAGCTTGCCAACCTGCTGCTGGTTCTCTCTCTGAAGGTGTATTCTGGCTTGGATGTATCCTCTGGTCTCCTTGAAGGCCTGTCTCTGAGACACCTCTGCTGGGTAGTGTGTGCAGATGCCAATGATGTTGGTGCACAGGAAAATCATCGCATTGGCACATAACTGCACAGAGAAAGAGAGAAGAGGAATGAAATGAGGAATTTCGGATGTGGAAAAGGTTAGACTATTTTTGTTTGCAATCTATGATAAAGATCACCACAGGTTTCAATTTGTTTTAAAGGTTTAAAAAAATTTTTTAAAGGCACAGACATGATTTTTTTAGCCCACTTAAACAGCTTGGTTAAATTAAAGCTGTACCTTCACAACACACACCACATAACACAGAGCACACAGAAATGGCCCAAACAGCTGAAGACCAATTCATGTAATAGTTTAAGGGGTTAGGCCTACTTTCTGCAGTAATATGCAAAGCATCCAGCAACCAGCTTTATGATTCAGGTCTTTTATCTCTACATCAGAACAAACATCTGGGCATTAGATGGTATGCGGTAAAACCTCTGTTTAAGAGAACTTAAGATGGTTTGCGGTTTTACTGCAAATGGTTTCTGAGAGTTCTGTAACAGTTATATGGACAGCATTTACATGTTAATCTCACAAAAACATATCCAGGTCACATGCCACAACAAATCAAAAGAAATTCTATTGTGCAAAAAGAAAGTCAAGCCTGTTTTAAGACCATTAGGCACATTTCTCCCCCCATTTAGGTTTACATTTATTAAAATTAAACTGTTGTTACTGGGGTGTGTAATTCCTGTTGTATGAGTTTTGCCTTTTGTAGACAATGCTCCACAGAGAGTTATGTCCTGTCTCTTCCTGGTATCCTGGTACAGATATGTTATCCGGTTTACATGGTCATAACATGAGTTGAAATATTGAATATGACTGTGAACACACAAGGTCGATACTTGATTATAACGTGTTAGAGTATGGTTCTACTATTAGCACCCCAAGCAAACACATCTAGTCATAATTTTCCATCAGTCCGAAACAGTTTGCCTGAGAGAATTTGTTGAGGCCCATTTCTCTGCAACAAGCATTTTCTACTTTGCCGAAGATGAACAATCTTTATTTATCCACTTGACAAGAAATGGCCCAGCAGAGCTTTAGAAAAATAGCTTCACTCCCTCTTTCAAGTGCCCCTAGAGTGAATGTACAAACATCTTCAGATTTTAGAGTTCAGGAAGAAAAGCCAGGCCCATCAGGCATCCATTTGCTCAGATGACGTTATCGGGTTGTGTAATTTTTAGTTTGGTCCATTTGCACAAGTTTTCCAAAACTAAAAAAGGCAGTTCTATTCAAAGGACTCACTAACACCAACAGTCCAATCCACCAAGCTGATTAGACATGGAAAATGTGTGGATGTGGCCGCAGACGTGACAGATTGCCATTTCTCCATGTGTGGACAGAAAAAGACTGCAATGGGATGTGCAGAAAGTAATCAACTAGGCGAGTAATTGTTCCCAACTAAATAGTTGACTAGCAAAATACTACTTGAATATCAAAAACTGATTCCTCTTTGATTAATCTGCCCTTGAATTCCTCACCTAAATTGCTGTTACAACAAAATACATTGGGTTATGCTGTGGATATTTCATATCAGACTGATATTATTGTGTTGGCAGATTGCATTTTCTCCACAGCAGGGCCTGTTGTTAACATGTGAAATTATACAAATGAGATGGTCTTTATATTGACACAGAGATTGTATGTGCAGATTATCCTAATGGTGGCAGTTTAATTTTCTAATGGGATTCTATGTAAGCACTTGGTGAGTAATTAATTTTTAATCTTGTTTGTTTTATTATTATTAAATGCATATTGTTCATTCATTTAAAAGAAAAAGAAAAAAAGAGAAAAGCACATTAATATTGTGAAATAGAATTACAATTTAAAACCAGCTGTTTTAATATATTCTATTCTCCTATAATATATAATAGTTGAGTTAAACTATACTGAATTGTACTAATAATCTGAATTTTCAGCAGCCATTACTTGGGCTTTCAGTGTCACATGATGCTTCAGAAATCATTCTAATATGCTGATTAGCTGCTCAAGAAACATTTCTTATTATTATTAATGTTGAAAACAGTTGTGCTCCTTTATTTTTATATTTTTGTGGAAACTGATGTGTGTTTTCAGGATTATTTGATTTGACAACATTTTTTAATAGAAATATTTTATGACATTATAAAAGTCACTTGTTTTTATTGTTATGAAAATTTTAAAATGCCAATCCCTAAAATGCACCAGTTTTCCATAAATGTAATGGTGGCATTTGACCAGAATCACCATCAGCAGTTAGCATTAGTGTGCTAATGTCATTGTACTGATACACAACAACAAGCTTCCCCGTTTTATTCATGTAGCATCTGATATACAGCACAGCAGCCCCCCTCAGTTCATCTATATCACACTAGATCATACCAGTGAAATTTTAAAAAGCGGTTGACATTTAAGCTGACAGATCTGACAGAAGGAATGTCACATGCTTTTAACTCACAGCAAAACTGATTAAATGAAACTGTCAGATCACCCACCGAGCATGTGTGTGTGTGTGTGTGTGACAATGAGCCACACATGGAGCAGTCAGTCTGTGTGTGTAGAAATGTCAGAGAATAAAAATTTGTATTTATTACATGAGCATGTGAAACCTTTTATTACACCCATGCAAGCACTTTTCTGCTTGAGAGTAAGAATTTGTACACAGTACACACAATTTCTACATTTTCCCCAAAACATACCACTCATAGTTGGCACCATAACTTGCACCATACTCTTTTATCACACGTTGGCTTAATTTTGTGTTTATATTTGGCTTAATAGATGTTAAATACTGCCATTCTTTTGCTTTTTTTTCTCTCTCTCTTTCCTTCTTTTTGTATATATGTGTGTTGCTTAGTTTAGTTGTATGTTACCAGTAGTTTTCATTT